ACGATGCAAAACAGATCTAAATTCAAAACAAGTTGGCCCGAAAAGTGTATTTTAATCGAGGTACGTTATTTAATTACCGAACATGAAACTATAACTATAAATACTACCCTAACCTACGTTCGCCGCACGCCTCCAAATATTTACAGTCTTTTTCATTTCTCTCTTTCTTCCGTTTGAACCAGCAACAGCGAAGGACAACATAGAACAGAACGACCAGAACATAGTCAGAGAAGAAAAAGGAAAAGAAGAAGAATGAAGAAGGAAGAAGAGGGACTTGTGTCATGGTTAATGTCATCCGTAGGTTCAATCTTTCGTAGTTTCTCCCAACGAACTAGAGGTGAGTACGTGGTCATCTAACACTAAGTTGTATCTATATATTTAATTCTTACATTCGTAGGATCATTACAAATAATTTACGTGAAAACCTATTTGTGATACTTTCATTTTGGACTATTGATGGGTTGTTGGTTAAAAGGTACGAATAGCTATGATTTTATCAATAGTAAGATTAAGATGTAGTTAGGAATTGAGTTATGAATATATTCAGCTTGAATTTTTGAGTTTGGATGTCGTTTGTTGCTGTAAAAACTAACTTGTGCAAACACAGGGGTTATCGTGTGAGACGGTATCGAGGTACCAGCCTGCCAGTACCGCGATACTGCCATAAGCTATTTCATTCTATTGGAATCTATGACCGTTCGGTACCTAGGTACTAAACGGATGGTAGACCCTACCGTCGGGATGGTAGCTAGCTACTGCCACAGGCCATCTAGTGCTGGCGGACTCTGTCTCAGCCGGTACCAGATACGGCCTGGACGTTACCCATGTACCGTACCGGTACTCAAATACAAGACTATGTACCGCTTGGTACCACTTTGTTGTTCTCAAAACTGTTTCCGTGTGGAGGATTTATTCCAAGACTTTGTATGTTGCATGACAGTAAGAATGGGTGTTCACACCCAGCGCAAGGTCGATGTTTGATCATGTTTGGTTATGTTTAATATGATTGTGCCTATCATGTATGTTATGTAATTATGAACATAATTTAAAGGTTGAAGTAATCTATATCTGTAGAGGAACTTTAGGATTTGACCAGAATGGAATAGAACTAAGATATGCCATAAATATAGAAAGGTTAGAGCCATGTGGTACCTGTTTGGTCCAATGGCTATTCGGGTACAAACGTGCACATAAGGATCTATGAACTGTCATTTTGAAGGGGACAAGAATCTCACCCACCCAACGAGGAACTCCCGAGTTAGTTGAGCTTGATCTACGTTTCAAAGGGGAAGGTCATGACTCCAATAAGCAAATCAGAATTAGTATAAGCTTAAACCTAGAATAGGTTATGAGCCCAGTATGTAAGTTAGACTACTAAGTTAGTGAGAACACAATGCATTAAATCGTTTATAATGTTTATGGATTGAATCGTTATGCTGATACTCGTGATGTACTTGCATGCATGATATTGTGTGATGTTATGAACTAGTGAGGTTGTCCATGTGTATAACTGAATGTTACTCCCTCCATCCTATAATGATCTTCCCGGTTCGCAAAACGAAGAAAAATCCCAAGTTTTTTCAATCTCTTTTATTTAAATATTGGTATAGAAATAAAAAATAAAACATACATATTTAAAAACTACATCAAAAGTTTAACAAAACAAGTGGTGATAAGAATATTTTATTTTATCATATAGGCCATGAAAAAACACAAATAAATATAAATTCCCGTGAAGTTGGAATAGTGCTCTGGGAAGATCATTATAGGACGGAGGGAGTATATATTTCTCACTTAGCTTTAATGTTGAGCGTGTAGGTTTGTTCTTTTGCTGCACGTAGGTAACCAAGATCAGGGTGGACCCTGAACCAACCCCAGAGGGCGATGAGGTCAAAGAAATGTGCATGGATGGGAATCGAAGATTTGAATTATTTTTATTATTTTAAATACTCACTACTTAATTTTATGGGCTTGAATCCCAAGTTTGTTTGAATAATGACTCCCCCGCACTATGTTTAATTACTCCAATGAATGTTTGAGGTTATATTTTGAAGTACTTATCTTTCATTGTTTTGAATATGAAATGTGTTTAGATACCAATTTTGTAGAAACTTGCTTTGCTGGCCATGCATTTAGTTTATGCGGGTTTAGGGTGTTACAATATTTTTCAAATTTTTATTCATATACTCCACATTGTTTAATTTACTCATTATTTTGGTCACATATCTTTCGTAGTTTATCTTTTTTATTCTGAAGAAATTGCAAATGAAGTGGGAATTGAGAGGAATAACTAAATTACCGGCCTATAGAATCTCAAAATCATGAACACATATAAATGTGTTATTATAGCCTTTTAAGTGTTGATCTTTTCAAATGTTATCGAAAATCGAATTTATTTTTTCATTGTACTTACTATTCTTAAAAGTTGATTTATTTTTTAAAAGTTACTTTTGTTGCATTTGTAAGGCTTAGTTTCTTGATTTAATAGAGATTTTGTTGTTGCATCATTAAAAAGTTGTAACTTCAAACTATTTTTTTTTATAAAAATTTGATTTACTTTGTTAGAGGAACATTACTTTGGCCAAAAAAACATTACTTAGTTATTGCTTCATCAATTTAGTGTTGTTACAACTTTTTTAATGCTTATTTTATAAAAATCAAAAAGCCAAAAAACCAAAATAAAAACCACATGAAACCAAACCGAGTAACCAATGGTTTACATATTTTTGGTGAGAAGTCGAACCGAAATACTAACTTACTTTCTATTTTGTCTTTGGTTTTGTTAAAAACCGAACTGCCAAAACCGAACTCATCCCTAGTATACGGTCCCACTATTTAGTAGGACTTAGGAAATGCATAGTCATGCCCAAATGAATTAATGTATGATATTAATGTTATTTGTTTCTCGCAAGTCTACTTGAAAAATTAGTAAACCACTATTATAAATATACAAGGTTACACATCTCATGCTTTGTGTTAAAACGAGACAATTGGATAGAAGGATTAGAGTCATACATCGTCATGTGTCGTAAGAGGTATTGTTGTAATGAACATCATGTTCATTACGTGTTCAGTAATAATGTGTTGCTAGGTACTACTTATTATTTACTCCCTCCGTTCCACAAAACCCTTCCCCTTTCGTTTTTTTGAATTCCCTAAAAGACTTCCCCTTTCTATTAAAAAACCACTTTTACCCTTACTTTTTCATACCCTACCTATCACATCATACTTTTTCTCTGATAACCAAACTATCACATCTTACTTTTACCCATCACATCAGGGGCAAAATTGGAAAATCAACCAAAATTACACTTTCCTTATTTTTGCCAAATTTCAAAAGTGGAAGGGTTTAAAGGAACGGAGAGAGTATAATATTAATTTAGATTAATATTATTGTATGTGTTATGAATATCAAGAAGAGTTACACACATAAAATAACAGTACGAAGTAGAATATTGAGTAGGAATAATATTAAATAATATTCATTTATAATTACAAATATATGTGTGTGTGTGTGTGTGTGTATACATGTGTGTGTATATATAATGTATATTCCTAATTTTATTTAAAAAATGTTCCAGTATATGTGTTTGTTTTGTGATGGGCCATTGGGCCCTCGTAGTCTAGGCACGGCCAAGTATCCACATAAGGCCCAAGAGAGTCATGTAGAGGGAAGAGGCAGCCTCTGAAGGTCCAATCCGCGAAGAACATGTGTTGGACTTTTGGCCCGATGACGGATGATTGAACCTAGAGCTGGCAAATCGGTCGGTCAGGTCGGGTTCGGGTTCGGTCACTTCAAGTTCGGGTTATTTCGGGTTCGGGTTAATTCGGGTTCGGGTTGAGAACTGTATGTTCATGACCCAGTGTCATCGGGTTCGGGTCGACCCAACGGGTTATGACTTTGGTTTTTTAAATTTTTAAATTCACATTAACACTTACATTTTCTATTAAATAAATTTAAAATATATAAAAAAAAGTACTAAATCTATAAAATTATATTATTTTAAACTCTAAAGTAGTTTTTAGATATATAAATCAATATAAGGAATTTAAAAATGTTTAAGTTTTGGAAAATATTAAGATAATTATGCAATATCATTAAAATTTTGTCTGAAAATATATATTTATACACTAAAAACAAGTAAAAATTCACATATTAAAACTTTTTAAGAATCAAATCGCCCAGCCAGTCCAGCTCAAGCCCAAGCCAGCCCAAACTGGGTAAAAATCGCCCAGTAAAGCCCAAGCCAGTTGAAGCCCAAGCCAGTAGTTTTGGAAACAAGTTTTGGGTCACAAAAGTCCAGCCCAAAGCCCAGTTTTTCAGGTCGGGTCACTTTTTGCCAGGTCCAAATTTTGAACCTACTATGATTATCACTTTCCTTGTATAATCTCGAACATACACTTATAAATAGAGGCAAAAGCCATTGTATAACTCGTGCTCCATTATCGTTTTCTTAAGCTCTATTCTCAATTCGATCTTTGCTTTCCTAGTTCATAATTCAATCCGGCCTCTCCGAGTCGGGTTCTTCGGTGGAATTTACTTACATTGATCACTTTGTTTTCAAATTTAATTTAAGTGTTTTATTTGAACTTTTTGTCCTCTGTAAATTTTTTTACTCCCTCATTAGAAAAAATAGTTGTACAATTGTAACATGCACACTTAAATTTTTTTCCTTGTTGTGCCAAAACCAATATGGACAAACACATTTGGATGAAATCAGCATTCCACTTTTAAACTTAGATGGAAATTAAAAAGATTTTTTAAATAGTGTTGCTAAATTCATCACAAATGGTTATATCCATACCTTTCACCTAATTTTGTTAAATCCACACTCATTACTACTTGGTATAAATTTCAAATTGATGTGATTTTGTAAGATTAAGTGAAAGATAGCTTAAAACTAAAAGTAAATAAAACGAGATTGTTATGGATTTTTAAACAATCCATACTATGAATACACCAACAAAACTTTTAATTTTATATATGGAGTACAAAATACACCCTCAAATCCATTTTATTCACATATGCTTAACAATTAACACACACACACACCCCATATATCCTCTCTCTTTTCCCCTGCATATTGTCTGAACTATAAAAATAAAGCAAAATAGATTTCATGCCTAAAATTAAAACAGAACAGCCCCCATTTCATTTCAAGCAATAATGTCATCAGGTCAATACTTGGAAAGAAAAGGAAAGAGGAAAATGTAAAAACGTCCATAAATATAATGAATCTTTCTAAACATTGTCAGCAAAGCGCACATGTCCCTTGAAACCTTGACCATGCTGAAGATATGGCTTTGGCCCTCTTGGAACTCCTTGATGTACCACCTTATTCTTGTTGTTACTATTATTAGAAGATGGCGGCATCATCCTCTTGTTATCGAACCCAAACTCGATCTCTCCGTCTCTGAAACTCGGCTTTTGCCTCGACTCCCACTCTTTAGGACCTATGGGAGTGACCTTCCGGTGCTCGTCCTTGCCCTTTTTCGGCTCTTTCGCGCCCTTCTCGCGCTTCTTCCGGCCATTGCATATTCGTCCGAACAAGCAAGCAATGGCCGAGATCGCAACCACTATGGCCAGAACAACAAAAACCGACCGGAACGAGCCACTGGCAACGGAATTGTTGGGATTGGAATTGGAAGTTGTTGATGATGAGAAAGGAGGTGTTAATGTGTAAGTGTTGGGATAAACTTGATTAACCTGAGGTTGTGCCATTGTGGAACTTCTTGACCAAATGTTTCTCAGGGGCTAGGTATATATATAGTGTTGGGGAAATTAATGATAACTTGGATGAATCGAGAGTTGTGTAAACACTTTCAGATTGAATATTTTGGTTGTTCACTCCAAAATTCAATTGGATAAAACTCGAAAGTATCAAGAACGAAATATGAGAATTGTTGTGTCTAAAAAACCGAACGAAATTCGACCATGCCCAGGGGAATTTTATAGACTAGGGGTGAGAAGGAGAAGACACCATTCGCGGCTATTACCCAAAGCACGCAACTCTTCGCGCGGAAGTTTCTTCTTCAAAATTCGGTCCTATCCATCAAATTTTCTTTTAAAGAAAATTCGAAAATTAAAATTCTAATTGAATTTTTTAACATAGCACCGAGCCCAAAATAAAAAAATTTCGAGCCCAGCCAGGGGCTCTGCCCCTTGGACCCCACAGGGGCTGCCGCCCCTTGAACCCTGCTCGGGGGCGCTGCCCCCGAACCCCCGCCAAGGGGGCGCTGCCCCCTTGGAACCCCCGGTGTAACGGGTTTTATATCATAACAAACTCAATGAAGCGTGCACTCCGCACCACCAAACTTCTTTGATGTTTATTAGGATACCATTGGTCGTAGTTTTTCCAATTACACTAAAATATATAACATATAGGATTATGTTGGAAATTAAAAGCATTTTAAGAAAAGGCCGGAGATCGAGGTTTTTCGAAAGACGATAGATTATGAAAGAATAATGATTGAAATGGTGATACGAGTACGAGTATTAATACTCCATAATAAAATTGAAAAACTGAAATATTTGCACTAAATACCACTAAAACTTAAGTCATTTCTCTAAATAGCACTTAAATTGTTTTATTTCCTAAATAGCACTTAATAATGTCCATAATGTCCAATGATGGCGAATATTTACTTAAATAATGACTAATGTATAATGACTAAAAGTGCTACATTGGGAAGAAAAATACATATGCTGCTAATTAAGGGAAGGTATTATGTTTTAGTGTTATTTAAGTAAATTTCCCTAAAAGAAATGGCTTACATTAAGAGCAAATTAACATGAAGTGACACTTAATTATCTTTAAAATAAAAGTGACATATCTTTAATCCTAAAATAAAATTATTGTTGCACTATATATTTTTAACCCAAAATAAGACTAGGGAAAAGAACTAAACTAGGAGTAAAATATGAAGAAAATACTAAAATAAGAGATTCATATTTTTTATACTCAAAATAGGAGTTACAATATAATGCATATAATGAAAATATATAATACTAAAAAATATAGTGGGATCATTATAAAATTTTATAATGTCACAGTACAAACTTTTATTTTGAAAATAAAAACATGTAACTCCTATTTTAAACACAAATACTATATTTTACTTTTATTTGAGGTGATTTCTTAAAAGATCATGGTATTGTGACACTCTTACACTCTATATTGTTGTTGTTGTTGTTGTTTTTACTAATAGAATTATTACCGTTGTTATTGTTGTTAATATTAATATTATTATTATTATTATTATTATTATTATTATTATTATTATTATTATTATTACAAGGGTACAAATAGAGGCACTTAGATTTCGGAAAGGGATTGCTTTCGCTTTAATAAAGAGAAAGAGTGAGCTAAAGATATTCTTTGTGTCCTTTTCTACCACTATATGTTGAACTTTGAACATCAAAACCGAGACATGTCCATTATTTGAATTGAATTTGTTTTTAACTTATTCTTATTACTTATTACTTTTTTTATTAAAATCAAATCAAATCATATCAGATCAAATTAGAAATACCTTTAAATATAACTATATTTAGATCAGACCATAAACTAGATCTGATCTGAACTTATTCCAATTAGATCAAAACTCTTCTGATGAGCTGAAGAGAACATGGCCTTAGTCCCAAAAATTAAAGAGAAAGAAAAACGATAGTTACTCCTCAAATTAAGGTAATGTTGCAAGGATGAAGGATCTGATTTTGTAGTCCAATAACACCGATATGACTCTCTTAAATGAGATATCATTTGTTTGATATCCGGTGGGGACAATAACTCTACAACCTTCAATAAGTTAATAGTATATATGAACAGATGCAACCTTGCAATAGATTTATTAGTGTTTAAAAAATTTTGAATTAATGTTTATTAATTATATGGTTAAACTTTATTTAATTTTTTTCACATAATTACTTCAGAATAACACAAGTTTTGTTGAAATAACTCTTAGGTCCTATTTTTAAAAAGGCATTAGGGGTCCTTATCTTTTGTTGTAAATGGTGTGATGGAACATTCTGGCCCGTATTCCGTTAATGGTCATTAAAAAATTATATTTTCTCATTTTTTCCCTACCATAGTCATTTTAATTGTATTTATTCTTTACAACACACAAATAATTTTGAATTTAAAAAAAAATACATAAGAAATTGGAAAAATTTTATGAAAAAAGGGAAATAAAGAAGAAAAAACTAAAAAGTGAAAGCCATGAGATTTATTAACATAAAACCATTAAGGAAAATGAGAAAAAAATGTACTCCATATATATTTTTTAACGGTCATTAACAAAATAATAAACGAAATGCCCCCTCCCATACTTTACAACAAAATATAATGACCCCCTGATGTCATTTTGATAATAAAAGGACCTGTGAGTTATTTCATTCAACAAAACATGCGTCACCCTAGAGTAATTTTCTGTTTTTTCCCAATTTTTTCTACCATAGTTATGTCACCTCTTGTTTTCTAGAGCTTTAGAGGCAGTTTTTAACTATGTAAATTTAATTTTTGAATTCCGCTCTAATTCTCAGATAAATTATATTGGGAAGAATTTTAGTCAAACATTATAATATATTTGCATGTTTACTTTAGAATTACTTGTATTTTAAAGAAATCTCCCTGCATAAAAGTAAAAAAGTATGAAAATAGAAAAATTGGATTTTTAAGTCTTGTAAGACCAAAATATGAGTATAATGTCAGTGTGATTTAAGAATGTTAGCAGTGTAATGGAAAAGTGATGACAATGTAATCAGTCAATCGCCGGTAGACCACAGTTCAACGTTAGCGATCGTAGACGACACTCTCTTGGCCAACAATGACGAATGGCAGTGTGACAGTGATAGTGTGGCAGTTGTTGCGTGACAATGTGGTAAGTGTGACAGTCTAATAACGTTAATGTGAACTCATATTTTGGTCCTAAAAGATTTTAAGACTCCTATTTTATATTTTCTTACTTTCTTACTCTTATTAGAGGACTTCTTCCTTTATTTTAAAAATGTTTCTTCCTTCTTCCTAATTTAAGTTGTCTATTCACTATTGACATGGTCAAACTTTAACTACTTCATTACCTGTTGTTGGTATCCATTTGATAAAATAATATAGTTATGTTATTACTTGTTTTTCAGAACTCTAGATGTAGTTTTTATATTTATAAATTTTATTTTAAAATTAAACACCAATTTTTGTACTATAATGTCTCAGTGTATTAATTGAGTTTGACTATCTGAGTCAAAGTCGATAGACATTAGATCTCAATAAATAATAATTATAATATGTATTACCATAAAAATAATTTTATTAAATCAGATTTTTATACAGTTGTGAACTTTCCGAATTTTATTTCGTTGTATTAATTTGCAAATACGAATTGAGAGTAATTGATGATTAGAATATGCCTACTTTGATTCGAAAAAGTCAAAGTGGACAAATTCACTCAAATATCATAAAATGAAACGGACAAATTAAATGGGGATGGAGGGAGTAATACTATTGAACAATTTATATCATATTCACTATCATGCTCTTAAATTCTAAATCTTTATTACCCTCTCCGTGACTCCGTCCATCAAAGTTCTTCCCATTACCATTTTTAATATTTAAAATATCAAATATATCTCTACTTACTTTATTTATTACATCCCACTTAACTCATTTGACATACCTACTTTCATTGAGTATATTTTAATAAGTTTTCACTTTTTTTAACTCTGTTTAAAAATCACAAAAAAAAAAAAGTTACCTTGAGAAGAGAGGTGGAGTATTTCTTATTGTCAACGTAGAGACATAATGATCATGCACAACTTATGCCTAGAACATATTTCATAACGTGAGAGTTTGAGGCTTTGAGAATCTTAGCCATGTACTCCGTAGCAAGCAAATCAAGGAATGTAAAGTTAGAGAATATCAAGAGTAGGGATGGTAATTCTATCTGAATCCGACCTGACTGCAGCTTATAATATCCGAATTAAAAAATTAAATATTTGAACCTGAGTTGAAAAACTTAAACTGAATCCGACCTTTTCTGAGTCGGATTTCAGTGATTATATTTTACTGACCCAACCTCTATCCGACCTGCTCCGGACCCGACAACAAATAAGCTATTGGCATGGGACACACGCATGGCACGACAAGGAAGGAAGGCTGAATCCGAGTGGGATTTGGTTTGAAAACTTACTTTATTTTAATTTGTTTTGTTTCTCTTTTGGAGATTTTGTTTCCTTGTAAAAACTTGGAGTTTGTTTCCCTTTGTGTTTCTACCTCTCCCTATATAAAGAGATTTGGTGCTTTGTAATTAAGATACAACCACAAAAATATATTGAATATTTTCTCTACTATTATTTTATTTCTACATAATATCGGAGCCAAAATACTCCAGGTAATATTGTCGTGTCAATCCGACGAAGATGATGGAGGAACGGAACAAAAATCCTTTCTCTAAACCGACCGACGAAGAAGAACACGATAACAACAAAGAGTTCACAAGGGTGAGTCCTTATGAAGTAAAATCAGCAGATCCTCTCACCTTGATGATCACCTAGATCAAATTAACTGATGATAACTATGAAGAATGGGAACGGGCAGTGTGCACCACACTCTGTGCCAAGAGAAAAATTGGGTTCATTGATGGATCCATTCTCCTGCCAGAAGGAGACAAAGAAGAAGTAAAAGAATGGTGGATCTGGAACGCCATGTTGGTTTCATGGATCTTTAGCATCATAGATGGATCATTTTGAAACTCGGTCACTTAGGTCGAGGAAGCAAAAGAATTATGGAACGACATCAAGGAACGCTTCTCAGTGGCGAATGGACCACGTGTGAACCAGCTCAAGAAGGAGTTGGTAAATTGCAAGCAGAACGGACAATCTATTCCCTCTTTGGTAAAACAAAGAACATATGGGACAACTCGGGAACCATTGAAAAACTTCAAGTATGCGCCAAGTGTCGTGGTTGTAAGTGTGGCACCTTTAATTGGTCGAACCACTGAAGGAGGATAAAAAGGTACATCAGTTCTTAATGGGACTTGATAATGATAAATGTCATAGTGTGCGGTTCAATATCCTGAGCACAATACCCTTCGCCTCACTCAATCGCGTCTATTCGACGATTATACAACAAGGAGTGCTTAAAATGTAACGCCCCAAAAATAGGCCTATTGGAATTAATTATTTAATTACTGAGAAGGACCCAAAAATATGTGAATTATAAAGTTTGTCAATAAATAATAAAAATTATATCGTTATGTAGAGTTTAACTGTCTGATTCCAACGGTTCAATCGGATTTTAATTTGGGGAAAGTTGGACCAAAAACTTTTCCCCGACTGGGACCAAATTAGTCCCAATCAAGGACTTACGTTTAAAATCGGAGAAGACAGCAGCCCGCTCCACTCAGCCTCCGAAACAGTCGAAGGAGAGGTCATCACCGTGTCTTCTTCCTCCTTCACTTGGCTATATAAGGGTCATCTCCATTCCTTCAATTCCTCGCCATTTCTTACAAACTTTCTATCTACTCTGTTTTTGGGAGTGAGGAGAACGCAGTGGTGCTGTCGTATTGGTGTGAGGTCGCTGGAGTTGAGAGCTATCGTCGCCGGAAGTTTCGCCGAAAAATCTTCAAAACCTCCATTATGCTTCGAGGTAAGCTCGTAGATATATCTAGTGACTAGAATGTTCATATAGATCGTTTCTACGTTCATAAACGGTCATTTGGTTGAGTTTTGTATTTGACATGTTTGAAGAATCAAGAATCATAAACCTTGAAATCGTTGTTAAAACTTCGAACTAATGGTACCAAAATGATCTATGAACCTTGGAGAACCTTTCTATATACTTTAATTGAAGTTTGGTGACTAAAAATGACATTTCCGAAAGTTGGCTCGCAGTAGAAGACGATGCAAAATCAATTTTTCATAAAGAAATCGATTAGACTTTTGTCTGGTGAAGAAAACGAATCCAGCAGAGAAAACATCGATTTTTGTACTATAAAAATCGATTATTAAGTATAAAAATCGATTATGTAATAATAAAAATTGATTTTTACATTATTCCACTGAAGAAATTGTAGTCAGTAACTATTAATCGATTTTCTTAATATATATTAATCGATTATTGTTCACGAAACATAATTTTTGGAACTATGAAATCCTATTTTTGATACCAATTGATTATGATCATTATAAGGATGATTTTTCATAATAAAAATGATGTTTTTGGAAAATAAGACCTTATGTGATGCATGACGGTAAGTTAGAGTGTTAACACTCGAAACTAGGCCGCTACTTGTTATTGAGTGTTATGTTAATTGATGACTATGATGAATGATTATTATGGATTATTGTGAATGATGAACCTACTAATTAGAATGATTATTGATGATTAAATCATGATTAAAAATGAATATAATGGTAATTATGGAAATGATGATGATTATTAAGGATATCTAGAAGAACTCTAAAATATACTCATATTAATATTGATTTGAAAGGTATCTAGAAGACCTCTAAGATATACCTATTTAAGTTAGGCCTTGCGGGTATGAACCCCGGTGGCTAGGGTTAAAACGTACGTACGGGATCCAAGAACCAAATTTGAGTACCTACTCGTTTGGGGGTACCACCCACCCAACAGTGAACACTACGCTGTCGGTTTCTGGTTGGCCTTAAGTGAAGGTAAGTTTTAGATTTTCAAAACCCTTTTATCTTAAACTAGGCCTAGCTTAAGGATTATTTAGAAGTACTTTATAGTGGAATATAGTTTAATTATTTAAACTACAATTCGTTTAAGGGTTGATAATCATTAAAGTGATTGGCCTTAGACTAAGAACAGTTTAAGGATATTGTCGAATGTTGAATATTGAATATGAATGAATATTGAATGATGCTTATTGAATTGAATATTGTGAATATTATGAAAGAATGATGAACGTTGAATGTGAATATAAATGTTGAATAATGAATGATGAATATTGACTAATGATTATTGAATATCTGAACTGAACATTATGTGCATGATATCAAATGGTTTGATTATGAATTTAGATTCAGTTTATATGGATGTTCGACGCATTAGATATGTTTACTCAGCTTAAACACTGAGCGTGTAGTATGTTTTATTTGCTACACGCAAGTAAACAAAAAGAATGAAGCAATGATTTCCTGGAGACAGATGGGACAAGATGGTCGGGCGGATGCGTGTTTTGAATTTGGAATACTGTTTGAAAAGACATAAAATAATTATATTTGTATTATGTTTTTATTAAGCTTCCCCAACATTAAATTACTCCGTTACTATTTTGAATTATTTATTATGAAATAAAGTTTTAGATGTTTGAAATATTTTTGAATGTCTACGAATATCAAGTTTATACTTTAGTCCGAAAGGGGCTGCAGACCTGGACGGTTTAGGGTGTTACAATTTGGTATCAGAGCAAAGTGAGGCTGGAGACAGATATCTTTCTAATCTGTGTGGTATGGGACATACAGCTTAGGGAGATACATACAGCCAACTCATGATCCTTGGGAACCCCCGCGCGTAAATGGTGGCGAAGCGTGACTCCCCTCCTAAGGGCTCAAGAAGGTAACAAAAAACTAAGTATTAAATTTGACTGTATTGGATTTCATAGATGTCAACTGTTAGTTCTGAAATGGTATCGAGTGTTGACTCAAGTTGAACTTTCGTACTCAGGAAGAGACGGAAGAATAAACGAAAAGCATATGACTCTCTGATACGTTATCAATGTGCACATTGCCTCGCGAGATTAATGAAAAGAAGAATTTATCTATGTCGCAAAGCTGCGTGGGAACAAATATATGAAGTGCAAGCACTGCGTAACTAGTGGATGCGAGATAAGTGGATGTTTTCAACTCATTGGATACCCGGAGTGGTGGGGAGATAGACCCCATAGTCAAAATGCCAGACGAGGGGGAGGTCGTGGCAACCGTGGTGGAGGCCAGCACGGTGGTAAAGGACGCACAGCTGGAGGGCGCGGTCACCGGTCTTTGGGGGAGGAATAGCCAGCAGTACACACGGCCCGTACAGGAGGCGTAAATGGTGAAATAGAACCATTTACTTCAGAACAGTGGAGTACCATCAGGTGATTTTACTACCTCTTAGATTATAGATAGCGGAGCAAGTCAGCACATGATAAGGAACGAAGGACTCCTGACACTTATTAAACAAATAAAACTTTGTTCCGTCGACCACCCTTATAGAGAGCATGTCGCAGCAACACAAAAGGGATGCACTCGGTTGAGCAACACGCTTGTCTTGGAAAACATGTTGCTTGTACCTAAACTTAACTATAATCTTATATCTTTCTCTCAACTTCTAGACAATAAAAGATTAATTGTTCAGTTCATTGACAAAGTTTGTTTTATACAAAACTGTGCCTCAAAGATGGTTATTGATACGGGTAGGCAACTTGGGGAATTTACTTCTTTCAGAAATATGTGACCAATAATTTCTATGTTTTGAAAAAGCCTGATGATGTGGAGATATGACACAAGTGATTAGGACACCCTTCTCATACTATTGTTGGTTTTCTTCCTCAAGTATGTTTATCTGAAAATCATGTTGTCAATTTCCCCTTGTGATGTTTATTTCCGTTTCAAACAATAGCGTGAATCTTTTCCGGATAGCTCTGATAAACCTCATTCATTTCTTTTTCCTTAATTCATTGTGACTTATGGGGTGCCTATAGTACTGAGTCTAGAACTAGGGAAAGATATTTTCTCACCATTGTTGATGATTTTTCTCGGGATGTGTTGGTCTATTTGTTAAACATCAAAGATGAAACCCCTTTTGTTTTCTGTAATCTTATTGTCATGGTGGAAAGACAATTTAACAAAAGGGTCAAAATAGTCCAGACTGAACATGGAACCGAGTTTACCTGTATGAAACCCTTTTTTCAATCCCAGGAAATTTTATTTGAAAACTCTTGTGTTGGAACCCCATAAAAATTGTAAAGTTGAACTTAAGCACTGTCACATTCTTAACGAGGCTCGTACCTTGCATTTTCAAGCTAATCTACCTATTAAATACTGGGGGTACTACATTCTCACAATTGGGTACCAGATAAATCACACTCCCTCTCCACTCCTTCACAACTAAACTCCCTATGAAGTTCTTTTCGGACAACCCCCTTCATATAACTATATCCAAATTTTTGGTTATCTTGCTTTTGCTCCTAATCAAAATCATCATGGCGACAAATTTGCTAGTCGTTCATGAAAATGCATTTTTCTTGGTTATCCATTTGGTCAAAAGGGTTGGTGTTTGACCAACTTGGAAAATAATAAAATTTTTATAAGTCGAGATGTCAAATTTTTTGAATACCATTTCCCGTTCGACACACAAAAATCACCTACATACTCCCATGACACAACAACCGAACCCTTTGTCACCAACGACAACGATGACCCACCATCGTTCTCGGATATTCACATCTCGAGTCCATCACCGATCCACACACTCGAGCCAACAACCGGCAGCCCCACTCCTGAGCCAAATTCCGACAGCACCTCATGAGAAAATACAAATACTGCTCCCTCTGACAGCCTCTCTGATTCACCTTAGCCACCTCCTCCACCTTCCAATCCCTTTCATCCAGTACCCGTGAAAAACAACCTTCTACACGGCTATGTGACTTTTTTCACACCATTCAACACCCACTAGTTTCCTCTCCATCCATAGATTCATCTTCAGGTACAGT